GGGAGCATATGCCCCCCCAGGGTTACTGTGCCCACAGTGGGGTGCAGGACTGCAGCCAGGCCAGACCAGCTCCAGGCAGGAGCTGCTTCCATGGCCCAGCAGGCAGGACCTGGCACAGGAGGGAGTGCCATGCTACCATGGTGAGATGCAGCAGTGGTGGCAGTGCAGAGTTGTGCCTCCTGCTGCTGCTGGGTGGGGAGAAGGTGCCTTACCTCGGCGGCCATGGTGGTGCTCCCTCCCATGCCAGGTCCTGCCTCCTAAGCCATGGAGGCAGCTCCTTTGGAGCTGGTCCGGCCCAGCTGCAGCCCTGCACTCCACTGTGGGCACAGAAATCTGGAAGGGCACATGACTCCCCCTATCACATTGCCTTCCCCCCTCCCTGACACACTTCTTGTTCTCCCTGGGCCCCCTGATGTGTTGCCTGTGCCCTTCCTGCCTCCCCAACACATTGCTTGTGGCCCACCTCTCCACTCGTATAGACTTACCTGCAGGGAGCTGTGGAAGCTGCTTTCTACCACCCTGCCTGGCTGCCACGTGCATGTGTGCATGCACTCATGCACATGGTATGGGTACCCTCTGCATCCTGCTCCCCCCAGCCCCAAGCAGCCCATTGCAGGCTGGAATGTTGCCAGCCTGCAAGGGGGAAACCTGCAGTTTCTCACGTTTTTCTCCTTTAAAAGGGAAAATCTGCATGTTTGTCTGTTAAAGAAGAAAATCCATGTTTTTCCACAGCAAACAGAAAACCTGGATCCCAGGTTTTGAGTTAGTGACTGGTCTATCCCAGGGGTGGGCAAAATACAGCCCGTGGGCCAGATCTGGCCCATGAGGCCATTCTATTTGGCCTGCAGGGCCCCTAAAAAATTTAGAAAATTAATATTTATCTGCCCTTGGTTCCTGTAAAAAATGACAGGAGCCTGGGGCAGTAGGACCCAGGGGAAGTCCTGGTGGGCTCCTGCAACAGCAAGGCCCGCCTGGCCCCACCCCCCAAGCCGGAAGTCCCAGCAGGGGCTTCTGGCCTGGGACCTGGCTGCCCCGGCTGCACCGGCATGGGAAACCCAGGTAAGGTGGGGGGGGGCCCTTCCCCACCCTGTGGCTAGCATTCCTTGCTGCAGCTGCTTGCAGCTTGCAGGGGGCTGTCCTGAGCAGGTGCAGGCAGCCCAACGTGGACTGCAAGCAGCTGCAGCACAGAATGCCAGCCATGGAGTGGGGGAGGGGCCGCTTTTCCCTTGCACTCAGCACCAGCTTGTAACCCACCCCTGCTGCAAGCCTGGGTCCCGTGCCAGCTCTAGGCTCCCCACTGGGGCTGTGCTGTGGTGGGAGCAGCTGCGACCTGCCCACTTGCCATGCTGGGCAGTGTTGGCTGCTGCTGCCCACCCGGAGCTCACAGGCTGGGAAGCACAGAGGCGACAGTGGCAAACACTGTCTGGCACGGCAAACAGGGAGGCCGCAGCTGCTGCCACTGCAGTGTAGCCCTGATGCAGAGCCTGGAGCCGGCACAGGGCCCAGGCAGGCAGCAGGGCTGGGTTACAAGCTGGTGCCGAGCGCGGGAAAAGTGGCCTGCCCCCTGCCCGGTGCCCTGCACTGCAGCTGCTTGCAGCCCACGTGGGGCTGCCTGCGCCTGATCAGGGAGTGCCAGCCACAGGGCAGACGAGGGGCCACTTTTCCCCAGGCTCAGCACCAGCTCCTTCCCTATCAGCAAGCAGCGGATCGGGGCTGCACACTGCCCCCCACCTGTACTGCAGGGCTGGGGGGGCACTAGGAGTAAGCAGGTGCACGGGGCCCCACACCGGTGTCCCAGGGCCAGTGCTGGCGGATCCCAGAGCAGTGTGGCAAAAGAACAGGGTCCTGGCTGGCACGGACTCTATGGAGCAAGGCCAGCTCCCCCTTTCCCTCTCCCTGCTGGTGCAGCCCAGCCCAGCTCCACAGACCCCTGCCAGCCTGCGCCCCACTCTGGACCCCACCAGTGCTGGCCCTGGGACATTGGTCCCAAGACAGTAACCAGGTCATGGCGCACCTGTCAAGGGGCGGGGCTACCCATGCAGCCCTCAACAGCTTGCCAAAACTGGGTAAGCAGTCCTCTGCCCGAAATATTTGCCTGCCCTGGTCTATCCTGATCGCAGTTAACAGTTTCCTCAGTACCACCGTATTAGGGAACCGTCTGGTGACCCTCCCTGTACAATATGATGGGAATACAGAGGGCTCCTTCCCATGTGGCTGCTCCTTCAGGCTCTAATGCTATTTGAAGTGCAGCCCAAAGCACCTTTACTGAGAAGGAAAATAAGAGAATAGCACTGGCATTGATTTATGATCTTCAACACTAATTTTTGTGACCAGACGACACTTGCAGCCAGTGCAAGAATATACTCCCCAACACATGGTGGATCGTTTTGTTCAGTGGAGAAGGCAAAGGAAGACAAAGCATCTGAGGCCTCTTCTAAAACATCTTGACATGGATTTACCCACCTCTCGCTTTGAAATGTCCATTAAGACAGCAAAGCTGGTCATGTGATTGCACTGGCAAGCAATATGGCTCTGATTTCTGGAATAAAGTTCACATCCCTTGGAGGACCAGCCTCCTGTCATGCCAATTCTGTTGAATGAAGCAAACACAAGCAAAGTCATAAGCTTCGTTGTCATCTGAGAATATCCACCTCACGGTGCTTCCACTATTCATCCCACATCCCGCTGACAAGGGCAGATCCAGAGGAGCCATGGTGACACAGTCACATCCCCCTTTGGCTGTATGCTGCACGTGCAGTGAATTCTCTGAGCTCACTGGCACGTCAGTGCATCTCCAGGTGACAGCACTTGCATATGCCATGACCTCTATGAGCTCACCAGCTGGTTGACGTGGGGTCTGCCCAGACCTGCTTGCATGCAGCTCCGAAGCCCAAAGGGTGAGCACTGCTACTATTTGCTTTTCTCTTCCCTCTTGAATTCAGCAGCAGGGAAAAAAGAGGGGATAAATGGTTGATAGCAATTTTCAGTCCCTGCTTTCATGCAGCCCAGCCACCACTATTGCTTGTCCCCTCTTTTCTCCTGCTGCTGAATTCAGGGAGCGGGGAGGAAGGGGACAGATGAATCACAGCAATGCACATTCTCTGGGCTCTGGAGCTGTATGCAAGTAGGGGCTCAGGGAAGTCCCCACATCAATCAGCTAGTGAGCTCAGAGCTTGCAGCACAGGAGCTGCACTGACATGCCAGTTCTGAGAGCCCACTGACATCCAGAACCATGGCGAGGGGTTGCAGCCACATCTCCTTTGGAGGTATGGAGCATGTGCAATGAGCTCTTCATTATGCATGGGCTATATTCCTGAAGTGGGTGTGGCTGTACCTCTGTCACCACAATCCTGGATCCACCCAGGCCTATCAATAATACTAACTGCTGAAGCAACTCCTACTCTTAGACTGGAGACAACAGTTTCCAAGAGCGAGTTAAATACTTCTTCCTTTCACTGCGAAGAACCCAAAGAACACTATCAAGGAAAACCCAAGGAAAACAATGAGTTAGAAATAATGTTTCCCCTTGTTTGTTACTGCCAATTTTGGGGGTCTTAAAATAGTATTTGCTGATTTAATTTTTTAAAATTTCTTCTTTGCTGGTTTGTGTGAGCGATCCACACAAACAGCAGCAGAAATGGACTGACTGCACAGGGCATCAGGTGGAACTGACCATAAACAAAGTGCTTTCAGTTGTGAAAATACAGAGCCATGTATTTTCCCTCCAATTTTTCCATTTCAGTAATCTTAGCTGGTACTTGCAACAATCATACATGTTCATATGGAAAAGTGGTTTTAAATTGGGTGTATTTCTTTACACTAGACTAGAAAATATAGGGAAATGTGCTGTGGATAGCAATATGCTAAATCACGGATTATGCTGTGCCAGCACCAAAGAGGAACATAGAACCTGAAAAGAGGAATATAAAACTTGAAAAGTCTTCCCATCTCCACCTGCTATAATTCCACTGACTTCAGAGATGAATTTGTCCACTTACCTACTATTCTATTCTGCAAATTAATTACTAAAAATACTCTGGTATTTATTTTAAGGAATTCGAATTAGATATTATAAGTGACCTTTTTGTTTGTCACTGAAATATTTCAAAGCTGTGTTTGGAGTTAATTCTTCCCTTTATATATAGTTAGGTTAGTTTATATTCTTTGGTTACAAGAAATTTCACAGTCAGGTAGTGAAGAGGCCACAAATAGACTGTAGTTCCAGTGCAGAAGGCACCACCAAGGAAGTAGCAGGTTAACCCATTTAACTGAGTTATTCTAGCCCCCATTATTGCTGCAAAACTTTAGGACTACAAGAACTGACATTCTGTCATTTGAGATACAATCAGCTGTTCACAGAACCAATTTTTTATATCATCAAAAAAGTTGTTCTTAACTTTGTCCTGAGATGACCTAGGACCAGTTCACATGTAGGTATATGGAATAATTTATTGCTACTGATTTATTAGATTTCTGTTGTCTCTTTGATCTTTCTGAACATAATTCACTCAGCCTGTTTTCCCTGACCAGGAAGCCTACTTGTATAATCTACCAGTACATTTCCACTTTCAAGATTTAGAACGTGCGTTTTTACATGCACTGTAATTTGAATAATGCAGAATTATTAATTGCATCATCATCTCTTTATATAACATTTTCCCTCATTTTCCTCAAACCTTTAAAATATCTTGCACAGAACTGCATTATAGAACCCCAAGTCAAAAAGTGATTACAGCTTTCAGTATCTTCTTGCATGTTTAAGAAATAGTTGTGTAGGTTTTCAACTAGATTCTACACAGGATATGAAACTAGAGACTAGACTTTTCAGATCATTTGTTCTGATTCCTCCCCTACTTCCCTTTATGCAAATCAGATGCAGAAACTGCTGCCTTATCCTGGTGGGCTGAAAGATGGAAGGGAATAGGTCAAAGGGTCCAAAGAAGACACTTCCTACCCACCCATTCCCACATATCCCTCATTTTTCAGTAAAATAAATGAAGACAAGTAAGCAGAGGTGCACAGGAGAAAGGCAAGTTGCTTATTTCTTGTACAGTTGCCTTTGGCTGACTCAGGTATGCAAAATTACTGGCATGTCTGCGGTTTAGGCTTGATTGCAATAACAAAAAACATATAGTTTGCACAATGTGAATCTGTAACTAGAGGATCATCTTTTGCTTCCTGGGATTTTTATGTTTAACCTGACTTGTGGAAAGAAATTACACTATTACCACATATCTGACTGTATGAACAAACTTAGAAAAAAGGACCCATGTTTACCCCCAGCCCAATTATCTTTCACACCAAGTGCACTGCCCTATCTCTCCCTTTCAAAATATTAAAGAAATCAACAAACATACGCAATTGAGTGGTTCCAGAATACACAGACTGGCTTAGTTCTTTCCTCTGTTTCGAGCATGGCATATTCCAGTATAATGGGCTTTTCCAGCAGGTTTGATAGAGGCTCCCCATCATCATGAATGGTAGTACTCACTACAGGTGTGTTAATAATGGGTCGGTTTGGTAACCTAGAGGAATAACATCAACATGCAAAAAGACTTCAAAATGAAAATACAGAGGTCAGATTTTGCAGGTGCTGCATATGAGTGACTCACATTTAGGAACTGCAGCAGCTACCCAGTCAGACCCCAAATTATTCAGGTGTCTAGAGCCTAACAGTACTGACCTGGCTGTGCTCATACAACAGAGTAGAGCAGGACAAAAGGAGGACAAATATGCAACCAATTACTTTTACAGGAATAAATGCATTACAGCTGACAGTGGAGAAATATAATTGCAGCATAAGAACTGCTCTGCCTCTGCCTAGCACTCACAACAAGAAACAAGGATTCTCTAAGTTTCAAAGTTTACCTCAAAGTATAAAGTTTACCTTAAGCTTCTTCGGTCAGGATCATAGTTCTCAGGTAAAAGTTGTCCTAGGGCTCGGGAAATAATCACTACAGCCACAGCATAGTCATTTGACTCAGTTGGGTGTCGCTTCCTTCTCTTTGTAAGTTCATTCTCAGTGTTTAAGATGCTACTACCCATCTTAGATAATTTTTGGTTCGAAGGCTTCAGTGTGGGAACTGCTACAAAATTAACACAAACATCACACTAACACTGCCATCAGCACTTTGGATTTCCATTTAAACTGGTGCTTTTGTTTTACATAGCCTAGGTAATATTCAGGCCCTAGTACTTGTGGAAGCATAGTACTGAGCATGCCCTTAATACTAAGTTTATTAATAGTTTATAGGACCATATAAAATATTCTATAATCACTACTGATTATAAAAAAAACACTGAAGTACTTTTCAATAGGGTTATGAAACAAACAGTTCCCGCACTAGAATATATGTACCTGGAGAAAGGTATGTAATCAAAAGAGATGCCAGTGGCTGTATCTATACATATGCTTTCCTGTGGAGTAGACTAATTAGCTCAGCAGTAAAGTGTCTCCACCTACACGTGCACAGTACACCTCCACTGTCTACATGGGTGCAATGAACTAATTACTGTCAGGGACAGTACTATCTTATGCTGGAGTCATTTACTGTGCTAAAACACAGGTGTAGACAGTGACTGGGCAGGCCAATCTCCTGCCTACCACTTAGCTACATGGCTTCACAAGGTCAGCACCCTCGTGCCTCAGCCAGCTCCTCTGCCACTGGATGCCATCACCCGGAGCCTGGGGTGACTCCCTTTATCCCCTGCCAGCCCAGCTCTGCTCCTCTCCAGCTAAAATTGCTGCTGTCCCAGGTGCATGAGTAGACACTGCAACTGGGAGCAGTTTATTTTGGCTCAAACAGCTCTGGAGTTTACTGTTTCACCTTAATTTCATGTGTAGATGCACCCAGTGGGCCCACTGACATGTGCTATTTATGTGACTGAATAAACTCCACTGCAGCTTATTGCTCCTGGGCACCATGTTTACACATGTGCCTGGGACTGCTGAGCTGGGCTAGACCAGCCCTGGCTAGCAAGGAGCTCAGAGGTTCAGCCTGCCAGCCTGGGGTTACTCTGACTCAGCTCAATATGCTGTGGAGGGGCTGGCTGGGCCATGAGGGTGCTCCAGTGTGGGTTTAGCTGGCAGGCAGCCCTTGCACTGAACCACCCTCATGCCCCAGGCATCCCACATCAGTGTCTACACATGGGTTGCAGCACACTAAATGCTGCCACAGGATAGCACTTGTGTTTACAAGTACTAACCTATGGTGGCATTTATTAGTTTACTGCGACCTAAGAGGCCACACATGTAGATGCTGAGGCTCCTGCGGGGCTAATTGGCCAACTCTGCAGTAAACGTCTTGTGTACACATGCCCAGTATGCATTACCCTTATTATTCTGCATGTGCCCTGGGGGATGTATAGTAAACTGTGTATCTTTTCCCAATGCAAAAGAATGAGCCTGTAAAAGTACTTTCTCTAAACTGGCACTGCAAGATCATGCACTTTCTATTTTGTGGTATTGCTTTTGCCATAGAGAAAAGATATGTATAGTATAGAGCCATAAACCATTTCTAAGAAAAATCTTCCATGACAAGTGTATTTTTTTATAATGTGCTATTTGTATTCTGGCTACTCTTTTTATCCTGAGGATATTCAACTGCACATTGTTTCAACCACATATAACTTTGACACCTTTAATATCTTGACACTTCTGAAGACATTACCACCTTAACCAAGTATCCTGTTTCTTCAATTGTCTCTCAGACCCAGGTGAATTTTCAAACACACTCTGCACCTGCCTGTTTGATTTCAACCTTTTATTGGCCTTTATTTTTGGCTATTTTGGAGAGTTCAAAACCCAGAATGGAGCTATCTTCTACATCATTCACATCTCCCTGCAAATTTCACAGGATGTGTGTAAATTTGTCTTTTATCAGCTCTGCCCATGTATACCACCAGGTTCTGGACACCAGTTCTGCTGAAATTCTCACCCATGCTTCAGATAAGAGATTAAGCATACCTGATGGCCCATGGGTTTCACTTGCATATTGCAGAATTTATAAAAATCCTAAAGGAGCAGGGCTATGTCACGTCTACACCTGGATGGCTAGGAAACAAGTGCTGTGTATAGAATGCACAGTTATCTCTAGCTAGAAGTTTTTATTAGTCTGCAGGAATTCCTTTTATAATAATACATATTTGCTTCCCTTCCAGAATCACCTTGGAACTCTCAAGGTTTGAATGGTAAAATCTGAGCTGTCTGGTTTCCAAAGACCCTCATCATTCTCTGTATTGTAGATCAGTTTATAAGAGACTCCCCTTCTTAGGCAAGACTGACTAGTTGTCCTCATTAGGGCCAGCTATAATTAGATTCTTTGGGCCAGGATCCCTGTGGATGGGGAAGGAGCTCTGTCATCAATGCTAAACTGCTTAGGTGGGGTCACCTCTGGGTGGAACAGACAGGACCACTTCTCTACAAAGTGACAGAGTAACATTAAGGGCTTTTTGCTACACCTGATATACAGGCAGGGCAGGTTTCATACCCTGACATACTCTCTTTACTGGCTTTATACCTTACAGATATACAGAGCCACTCCATCGCTATGAATATGCCCAATACCTTCCCAAAACAGTTTATCCTCACAGGAAACTTAGCTGATCCTTTGGGGCTGATAAGAAATGCCTTCAAAATATCTGGAGAATGGTTTTACCTTTTCTTTCTGAAGGTTTGAACAAAGCATCAGGGAACAAAACGGATGACTCCAAATCTTTAGGATAATCTTCTTTAATCTCATCAAACTGTGGCACTTTAGCTCCCGTAAAATTAGACTTGTCAAAGATGTCAACAGCAATAACTAGGAAAAAAAAGGTTTCCCATAAGATTAACTTCATTTCAATCAAAGATTGCATTATCTAAAAGTAAAACTTGACTGAAAGGTTAGAAAATCCATATGACATACAGAAGAAATTTGAACTAAAGAATATAATAATGCAAATATACTTTCCTTCACTAAATAGTTTAAGTGATAGTAAAGGCATATCTTTTAACATTATCATAAAAAAATATATATACTCTGTGTGTGTGTGTGTGTGTGTGTGTGTATACACACACACACACACACACACACACACACACACAGACTACAAATATATATGGATTGCATACATAATGGTAAAGGAGGAATTTCATAGGAATTTTATACTAGTAAAGTACTTTTTCTGATTTGAACTGGCCATGTAAAATGGCAGATTCCAACTTTGTATACTTGCTTTTTGCATATATTTAAGGCAAGATCTTCTGTTTAAGCTTATTGTACTGGGAAGGGTGGTAGGACAGAAAAAGAGGAAACAGAAGGCAGGGAGTTGAGAAGTATGAAGTCTATTGCCAGTTTTGTCAGTTCATAACATGGCTCTGGAGAAACAACTGCCTCACTTTCTTTAACTGAAAACTGGGGTTAACAATACATTCCTTACCTATACAAATATTGTATTATTTTTTAGGGGTTGTAAAGTGCTTTAATAATATCTTTGGATGGAAGATGAACTAGCATGGTGTTGTATTATGTGGTTACTGAATTGGGAATTACTTATTATTTTGTGTGTGAAATATAGAACGGTGGTCAGCAACAGCAGAATTTAGCCATGCAAAATGTTGCAACTTCATCTCAAATTAACAGCAATATAAATTGCCAAAACAAGAGACTGACCTTGTGAAAGTTAATGTAGAAAAGCAACAATATTCTCTTACTCCTTGGGTGCATCTACACATGCATTTACTCCAGCTCAAATTTACTCTGGTGTAAACTACTCCAGAGTAACATTTTTTGGGCAGGCATCTACACACATGGTGATTAAGGAGTAGATTTACATGCAGTTCCCTAAAGCCCTGCAATGGGCCCCTGCTGGCACTGGAGGGAGCTCAGGGGCTGGCAAGGAGCACAGGGCCAAGAGACAGCTTGCTGCTGGGGCAGGTACAACGTCCCCCTAGCCTGACAGCAGGCAGCTCCTGGCCTTGGCTCCCCAATCAGGGACACCAGGCTTGGAAAGAGCTGGAGGAGAGGGGCAGGTCCCAGCCCCTTGGTCCAGTACACCCGTGGGGCAGCTAGAAACTAGCTTGCTGTTACCTGCCCTACCAGTGGATTGGAGCAGTGGGCTGGGAGCTATCCCACCCCTGCAGACCCTTATCTCCCAGCCTGAGCCCTGCAGTCATGGGGCTTGGGTGGGGAGACCCTTATCTAAGGGTCTCCTAGTACCCCACTTCCTGACTGTGATGGCTAAGTGGGAGCTGGGAAATAATGATTTTGCAGCCCCTGCTCCCCAGTTGCAATCTGGGAGCAGGGCGCTTGGAGCTCCCTACTGCCAGGGTGGGAGGACATAGTCCCTGCCTGAGCTTCTGTGGCACAGCCTGCCCTGGCAGCAGGCAGCTCTGGGGGCAGGGAGCCATCTCCTGGCCTCTGGCTGACTAGGAGCAGATTTTACTCCCAGTCAGGCATCTACATGAGTACTATGGCATTGTTACTAATCTCGAGTAAATCTGTTACTTCCATTTGCAGGTAGCAAATTTACTTTGGAGGAGGGAGGTTTACTGAGAAGTAAGCATGTGCCCATGTAGATGCACGTGCTTACTTTGCAGTAAACTATGCTACGCTCCCCCTGTGTACTAAAGGCCTGATGCAATGGCTTAGTTTTAGTACTTCACTATGAAAGCCAGGTGGGACAGACTCATAGCCACAGGGCCTTTTCCTTGGAGAGGTCATGGATGGGAATACTTCCCAGCCTTCCCCAATTCCTGTGCCTTGCATTCTTAGCTAGCCTGTGGCTCCTCCTCATCACCTCTACCTATTGTATAGCTATTAAAAGTGCTTAACTGCAGCTGAGTTGCTCTGTACAAAAATAAAACCTCCAACTGCTGAATTCAGGCTTTTTAATAAAGGTTAAAAGTGAGAAGCTGGAACTCTGGAGGGTAACACTACTGAAAGCTGTGGCCCACTGCAAGTTTTGACAGGAAGAAATATCTAAGTGAAGAACTGCAAATTCCCACACCTCCCCTCATCTCTAAAGAACTCCTGATAGTCAGCCTTATTAAACACAGGGCTCACCTGGAAAAAGTGCTTTAAAGAAAACAGAAGCTATTCTGAACAAAATTGCCTCACCACCTGGAAGCAATATCCAATTCGCAGTATTAGCAGCACTCAACTTGCCTTCTAGCTCAGGTTTCCAAGCTAGAGATCAGGGAACCCTTTCAATGTCCAGTTACGATAGGCAAGGGATAAGTGAAAAATGTTTGGAGGAAAACAGCAAGGGGCCCTACCTCTCTGACCAGCATCCTTGAGCTTTTTCTCTGACACACTTGTATTTAGGATGCTTACCTAACAGAAAATGATAGTTTCTAACCTAGCTACTTACTCATATTTGCAGCAACAATAACAAAAGGTTTCAGGTAGGTTTTCTTCATGTTTTGTGCCACGTTGCTAAAATATTCCTCATAATGTTTCAGCAGGTGAGCTGTGCCACCCTCCGTTCTTTGAATTTGTTCCCAGAGTCCCTTGTTGCTGGCGTCCAGGAGGGCACTACCCACTTTTACGATATTCTGAGAAGAAAAATAAAATATAAACCTAAATCATGAGAAAATATAACTGAGGCAACTGAATGAATTTAGTGCACCAGATCTCACATGAGGAGTATTTAAAATGAACACTGCTTTAGGTGGACACAGCAAAACATCTCAGTAAGCGCCTTTTTAAAAAACTGAACACTTATTAGTCACCCTCAGGTTGTTTTACTTACAAGAAATCCTTTAAACCTTTTCATAAGCAACTGGGGCCAAGATTGGAGGTTATGAGAGCTGTATTTTTTTTCTTTTAAAGACAAAAGCTGTCAAGAAAACTTAAAAGAAAACCTAACCATACTGGCTTTTGCACCTCAAAGAGATGAGAGACAGGACAAGCAGAGACGACTTGCTAGGAGCATTAAGAAACTCCCCTAGGGAAGTTAGAGAACTATGACTTGCTAAAAATTCAACTGCCAACAGAAAGAAATAGACAGAAATACCTTCTTTTACAGAGGCTAACTTAGTTTTATTTTGTAAATTCCTTAATGATTCTACATAATCAGTCCCTGTTTTCAATTTTCTGAGGATGTATATAATAGGTTTGGCAAAAATGTGTCTTAATTTCCATGTACAAAATTAACACCCCCAGGACCTTTTGTCCATTTTTATCTTGCATAAAAATATTCTGTTGGACAAAAGCAGCTCTGGATAAAACCTTGACTACTCAGTTCTTTACTAAACTAAACAAACTAGTACATGAACCCTGAGACAAAATGGAACAGCACTAAACAGACTTATACTTAGGCTTGAAGTATGAACACTAAAGTCCTAAAAGCACTTAAATCTTGGTGCAAATGTAGACCACATCACCATGTTGTATTGAAAACTTTATTTATGAGGTTAAATATAGATAAAATTATAATAGGATTTAAATCAAACTCTTAACATTGATGTTCATACAGCTAGAGCAGGGGCAGGCAATTATTTTGGGTGGAGGGCCACTTACCAAGCTTTGGCAAACTGTCAAGGGCCGCATTTCCTTTTCCGGAGTAGGGAAGCAGAAACAACCCCATGGTCTCAGGCCAGAAGCCTCTGCTAGACAGAGGCTTCTGGTTTGGGGGGCGGGAGGCAGGGCGTTGCTATTGGGTCCTACTGCCAGCTTCCCCTAGGACCTACTGCCCCTGGCTCCTGTCATCTTTGACAGGCAGCCAGGAGCAAATAAGTATTAATTTTCTAAATGTTTTGGAGGCCCCGTGGGCTGGATAGAAAGGCCTGGCAGGCTGGATCCAGCCCGCAGGCCATATTTTGCCCACCGCAAGCTAGAGACATAACAAAATATTTCAGTGTCCACGGTAGCAAGATGTATGGGGGCAGCAGCAACTTCTAGCTGCCTCTGGTACAATTGTGTGGATATGGTAACAGCTGATACGTCCAGGACAGCTGTCCCAGTTACTCCACCTTAGTGAACTAGTGCATATAGCCAGTCTCCTAAAAACTCCTACTTGCAAGGGGAGGGACAGACCAGAGCTGTGTAACTGTCCTCAGTCACATGAACTGAACAGGATTCTGGAGCACTTGTCTGAAACATACTAACTTTAATTCTTTGATTCCCTATGGAAATACTTCATTGTAAATTTTAAAAAATGGAAACAGCAGTTTGCGCTTTTCTGGTTTGTACTTCTACTTAAAAGAAACAAAATTAAAGTCCTCTTGCTTTTCCATCTCAAGGTTTGGGTGTAGAAATTAATTCAAATCCAGTGCCAGAAGCTAGAAGGTTTTTGACAAAGTACCTACTTTAGAGAACTGAAAAATAATGTCTCAAGACCAGGGGAATCTAAAAAGTTAATCATTTCGAAGGTATGCTTTATTATTTCTTAACTGAACTGCATAAAACATTGAGGAAATCTATTCCCTAGTGGGGAATAAATTTTAGTCCTAAATTACAGGAAATTCCATTTTTAGTAAGATCTTTTTCAGGTCTTTAGACACCATTAGCTTCAGATGTTTGTTGAGTCAGTTAAGGAAATAAAAGGATTATTACTGTAGGTACAAAATTGTAAGAAAAACATTTAAAAAATTCTACGGGGTAAATATGGCTACATTATTAGTTGCTTTCTAATGAAAACAATGCACAAAATTCCAGGGCTGGTAACTGGCCAAATAACATTTTGTTTTTAATTAGAATCAAAGAAATACAAGATTTGTGATTGTGTACATATTTCCTGTCTATATTTATACTGGAAATTATAGGCCAGGTCTGATACAGGTATCGGTCTGAACTGATTTTATAGCTCAACTATTTTCTTGTCTGTAGAATTCTGTTTTTGGACAGTACTTTATTAGTATCTATTGGAATATGGAATATACACCATTATTCTATTTCTATGGAATATACAGCACCAAATTCCACTTGAAAATATTTAGGATGCTGATCAATTTGTGATACTAATTAAGAAATTCTGGTACATTCATTCCCTTTAGCTCTGCAGTGAACTCAATTACAAATTTCTAAATAAAAATGTAAATGAGAACCTACAAGCTCAATTTAGTGTATAAAATCTCTCTTACTTCATTGAATTCCACATCCCTTGTTGCAGCCAAGTCAAACCCTTGCTGCTGACTCTCATACTGCAGGACTCTGATCATCATCTGGTATGCTGTCCTCACATCATTCCCATACAAAAAGTTTGTGTATTTGGTGGCATTCTGCAGCACTTTTGTGATATGTATAGACTTGTCTCCATCCATTATGGTCTCATTGCGATGTAACTTTTCATTCTAAAGTGGGAAGGGGGGGAAAAGGGGAGAAAACAATTTAGCAACAGTTTTTCACAAATTATCAATTAGTTCTTTCAATCCAAATACAAGCCATTGTTACTTCCATCATCTAAAAACATATGGAGGAAAGGAATCATTTAATCCAAAAAAAGAGGCTACCCGGGAAGGGATGGAGAGGGCAATGGAATGGAAAAAGGGGGCTCCTAGAAAATGTTCCCAAGGGTCTGAAGATTCAGCCTGATAAGAAATGGAGCCTGATGGTGTCAAGCTCCATGATAGTCATGATAGTTAGAACTAATGAGCATTAGGTTAGACAACAGGGGTAGTGGATTGTATTTAGCATGCACAAGAACATCATACAGCTTTACTTACACCCGGACACCCACAAACACTAGATATAAATGAGCAATTAAAATGATTAAATATCTTCAACATTTTAATCCAACAAAGAACTGTTATATTCAAGGTGCAATTTTAGTAAATCCCCAGAAAAAATGTTAGGTAAGATGCTCACCTGGTATAAAGTGGTGTTGCCCCACTAAAGGCAATAGAGGAATGCCAGTTCATACCAGCTGAGGATCTAGACCATAAAAGTGACTGGATTCTACAGTGAATATCTCACTACCTGGTCGCTGGCATTTAGCAAACGTAATTTCATCTGAGCCCTCACTAGATTTGGGAAAATCTATGTCTATTAGGGCACTGGCACATGTTACACTTAGGATGAGATTAAGGTGTTAATCATGCCATAAAGGCCCCCTCTACACATTAGAGGTATCCTGCAATTAACTGAGACCAGCTACGTGTGTGAAGTACCTATCACACCAGTAAAACATCCAATCAGCTATAAAGTTAGACCATGAAAATGTGTACTAACTTTATAGCTGGTTGCTTTCCAGCTTTAATTTGCACGTGTAGCAGGGACTGTCCCATCAGCTGACCAGGTTCCTAACCACAGGATAACACCATGTGAAGTTGGTGGGGACTCTTGATCCCACTGGTGCCCCATGGCTGCTGGGACTGAAAGCCCTGCAGCTGCAGATTCTCCATTTCGGTGGCACCCATGGCTACCAAGACCAAGAGTCCTGCAGCTGCAGAGAGTCTGTGAAGGAAGGACTGCCAGAGGGAGTGCTAGAGAAGGAAAAGGACATAGAATCCCACAAGGCTTGTAACCCCTGGCAGCACAAAGTCTTCATCTCCACTTGCAGCAGTTTGCCTGGAGAACAGATATGGAGCCCTCACAAGTGAGGAGGAGGAACACAATCCACTGGTGGAAGAGGCATCCCCAAGGTTGGGAGGACTGAGACCACTGCTATCAAGAGGAAGTGATGGATGGTGGTAGTTGGAGACTCCCTTCTTCAGGGAACAGAGGCATCCATCTGATGGCTTGACCTGTTGTCTTGAGAGGTCTGCTGCTTGCCCGGAGCCCGGATATGAGATGTCATGGAAGGATTACTGAGACTTATTCGACCATCTGACTACTGCCCCAAGCTGCTCATCCAGGTGGGCACCAATGATATTGCCCAGGGTAACCCTGAGCAGATCAAAAGTGACTACAGGGCTCAGGGTGCATGGGGATAGGGGATGAGGTGGTGATCTCCCTGATCTTTCCTGCCAACGGAAAGTGTACGTATCCTGCAGATCAATGCATGGCTGTGCAAATTATGTCACCATGAGGAGGGCTTTAAACTAGATTCACTGGGGGATGGTGACCAAAGCCCCAAGTTAAGTGGGTGACTTGGAGGAAGCACAACCAGGAGGAGACAACAAGGGAGGCCTTCTTATTCTTCCTGAGAAAGTAGGGCAATTGGCTAGTTACCTCAGGTGTCTGCACACAAATGCACAGGGCCTGGAAAACAAGCACAAAGAACTGCAAATCTTTGCACAGTCACAGAGCTATGATGTGATTGGAATAACAGAGACTTGGTGGGAGCTCACAGGACTGGAACACTGTCATGGATGGGTATAAACTGTTCAGGAAGGACAGGCAGGGGAGAAGAGGAAGAGGAGGAGTTGAGTTGTATGTAAAAGAGCAGTAGGATTGCTCAGTGCTCTAGTATGAAACTGGAGAAAGGCCTGTTGAAAGTCTCTGGGCTAGGGTTAGAGGGGACAGCAACAAAGGTGATGTCATGGTAGGTGTGTGGTAAAGACCACCAGACCAGGAGGATGAGGTGGATGAGGCTTTCTTCAAACAGCAAGCAGAAGTTTCTCAATTACAGTCCCTGGTTCTCCTCAGGGACTTCAATCACCCTGACATTTGCTGGGAGAGCAATACAACAGCGCAGAAGTAATCCAGGAAGTTTTTGGAGAGTGTTGGGGACAACTTCCTGGTGCAAGTGTTGGAGAGGCCAACTAGGGGCCATGCTCTTCTTGACCTGCTGTTCACAAACTGGAAAGTACTGGTGAGAAATGTAGAAATGGGTGGCAACTTGGGCAGCGGCAGCCATGAAATGATGGAGCTCCAGATCTTGAGGAAAGGAAGGAGAGCAACAGAGTCTGCTTCAGAAAAGCAGACTTCAACTCATGCAGGGAACTGATGTGCCAGTCTGAGGGGAGGAGGAGTCCAGAAGAGCTGGTTGTACTTTAAAGAAACCTTACTGAAAGTGCAGGAACAAATCATCCTGATGTGCAGGAAGACTAGCAAGTATGACAAAAGATCAGATTAACTTAGCAGGGAACTTTTCAGTGAGCTACAACACAAAAAGGAAGCTTAAAAGAAGAGGAAACTTGGAAAAACGACTAGGGAGGAGAGTAAGAGTATTGCTTGGGCATGCAGGGATGAATTCAGGAAGGCCAAAGCACAACCGGAGCTGCAGCTAGCAAAGGAGGTGAAGGCTACCAGGAAGAGTTCTACAAGTATGTCAGCAACAAGAGGAAGATCAGGGATTAGGTGGGCACCTTTTTGAATGGGGAAGGCAACCTAGTGACAGATGTTGCAGAAAAGGCTAAAGTACTCAGTGCCTTTTTTTACCTCAGTGCTCACAGGCAAGGTCAACTCCCAGACTACTGCACCTGGCAGCACAGTTTGGGCAGCAAACAGTGGTGAAAGAATATGCTTAGTACCATTAAGAAAAGTTGGATGTGTACAAGTCCATGCAGCTGGATGTGATGCACCTGAGGGTGCTGAGGGAGTTGGCTGATGCGACTGCAGAGCCACTTGCTATTATTGAAAACTCATGGTGACTGGGAGAGGTCCCAATCTTTAGTGCCCATCTTTAAGAAAGGGAAGAAGGAGGATCTGGGGAACTACAGGCTGGTCAGCTTCAGCTGAATCCATGGAAAATCATGGAGCAGATCCTCAAGGAATCCATTTCCAAGCACTTGGAGGAGAAAAAAGTGATTAGGAACAGTCAGCATGGATACACCAGAGGCAAATCACACCTGATGAACCTGATTGCCTTCTATTATGAGATGATTGGCTCTGTGGATGTGGGGAGTGCAGTGGATGGGATCTGCCTTGACTTGAGCGAGGCTTTTGATACAGTCTCTCACAACATTCTTGCAAGCAAGCTAAGGAAGTATGGGCTGGATGAATGGACTGTAAGGTGGATAGAAAACTGGATGAGTAGCTTGGGGTCTACTTGGCAGGGGTCAGTCCTGGGACCGGTTTTGTTCAATATTGTCATCAAAGACCTGGAAGATGGGATGGAGTACACCCTCAACAAGTTTACAGATGGCACCAACCTGAGGGGAGTAGTAGATACACTGGAGGGTAGGGCTAGAATTTAGAGAGACCTAGACAAATTGGAGGATTGGGCCAAAAGAAACCTCATGAGATTCAATAAGGACAAATGCAAAGTCCTGCACTTAGGAAGGAACAATCCCATGCACCAGTACAGGAGTTAATGTGAACAATAAGCTGAATATGAGCGTCCTTGTTGTGAAGAAGGCTAATAGCATACTGGGCTGCATTAGTAGAAGCATTGCCAGCCAATCAAGGGAACTGATTATTTCCCTCTATTCTGCACTGGTGAGGCCACATCTGGAGTATTGTGTCCAGTTTTCGGCCCCCCACTACAGAAAGGATGAAGACAAATTGGAGAGAATCCAGTGGAGGACAATAAAAATAGTTAGGGGGCTGAGGAATAGGACTTCTGAGGAGAAGGTGAAGGAACTGGGTTTATTTAGTCCACAGAAGAGAAGACTCAGGGAGGATTTAATAGCAGCCTTCAACTACCTGAGCAGGGGTTCCAAAGAGGATGGACCTAGACTGTTCTTAGTGGTGGCAGATGACAGACCAAGGGGCAATGGTTTCAAGTTGCAGCAAGGGAAGTTTAGGTTATATATTGGGAAAATCTCTCTCACTAAGAGGGGTGTAAAGCACTGGAACAGGTTACCCAGAGAGGTTGTGGAATCTCCATCCTTGGAGGTTTTTAAGACCTGGCTAGACAAAGCCTTGGCTGGGATATAATGGGGGATGGCCTTGCTCTGAGCAGGGGGTTGGATTAGATGACCTCCTGAGGTTCCTTCCAACCCTAATTTTCTAAGACTGCATGACTAAGCCCCAAGTTCTTGATCGCTTGTTTAAATTCCCAGGTATAAAGTGCCTGTGGAAGTGCAAGTTGGGGAGCCAGGAACTCTGCTCCCCAGCTTCATGCATCATTTCATGGTATGGGGTATGGGCAGCTGGGGAGCCAGGTTCCCAGGTTCCAGTTTCCCAGCTTCCAGGTTCCCAGCTGTCCACACTCCACACCATGGGCACTGGCACATAGGGAGCTTTAAAGAATGGGCCTGCAGCTGGGCTGCAGCTGTCCTTTTTAAAATTCCCTGACCCCTCAGATCTAGACAGTGGGTGGAGGCTCCTTGGTCTCTGCCTCCCAGCACCAAGAGAACTTTAAAGACCATGCTGAGGTAGCTTTCCCATCGAGGACTTTAAACCCCATGTCCAGCAGCTCTGGCTGGGGTGCCGGGGATCAACAGCTCCTGGCAAGATTTTAAATCCTCTGCAGGCCCTTCAGCTCCCTGCCCTCCTCCCCATAGCCTCTATCCCTCTCACTGGGAAGCCCAGCCAGAGCTACGAGGTGTGGGGGTTTTGATAATCAGCTGATTACCAGCCAGGCCAGGACAGTCCCAGTCTAGAACTGGATCCAGGGCTATCCCAGATGGGACCAACAATCAGCTGATTGTCAGCTCATTGCACTAGGGACTTGAACTGGATAGGCCAGCAATCACCTGATTGTCAGCCCTGGCCTCAAACCACATCAGAGCTGGTTCCAGTGCCTGGTGTGGTGCCAGGGCAAAAATGACAATCTTTGGCTACATCTGCGGGCACTTCTCATTCAAGGGATGCCAGGCCTCCCTGCACTGAGAAGTAGTAACGATGTGATATGCATCTGGTCCCTTATCTACAATCAGGCTTCCTGCCATACTTGTCTGACATAGAAGGAAGTGTGATTGCTGGGATTGAGGATCACATCCTATTCCACCATTAAATGAACATGTGCCAGGGCCTTAATTTAGTTTTTGTTCTAAGTGTGTCTATTATGTGTGAACAGGTCATATTGTAGGTTGTACTATACATGGAAACAGGAACAGGACAGGTTGGTAGGGCTTGCAAAGTACAAGAAAACATTTCCTACCATGAGTTTAAGATCCACAAAGCTAATGGTGGTGCAGTTAAATAGCTCAGGAGGCAGCCAGCCTTTCTCACTGTTACAGTGCCGAACTGCATTCCCTAAAGTAAACCAAACAAAGGGTTAAATAGGTTTGCAACTGTTCTGTACAAACTAGAAACAGCATTTGTTACAAAACTAGCCTTTTAGTTTCAAATTGCTTAAAGAAAAGCACGTATTCTACCTTGCAAGCAGGCATTCCTCTGCCTCCTGTGAATTAAGCCATTTTCTGATATTTGTGAAGCATTGTCCAGCAATAGTTTGTGTTTTGCTTCCACATTTCTGCCTAGGCTCTCTTACTCTAGCTGCCTCAGAATCTTTTAGTGAATTAACCAATTTGTATTTAGAAAATCTGATAAAGGGTCTACAATTACTACATTTTTAAGATGAAAAAATCATCTGTTCTACCCAGAGATGGAATACATGAGCTCCTTCAGGTTTGCCTCCTGGAAAAATATTACCTGGGCTTCCTAACATTGGAACACTGGCTATGCTATGACTATGCAAAGATAATAGAGGACATAACAATAAATATAATATCCCTTTGTCTATTTATGAATTGTTTCCAAGCACCTTACTATTTTAATTTATTCATTATCTGAAATTATTTGCTAAATAATTTCCATCAGTGATTCTCACTTGGTAAAGTCTCCACAAACAGTTAAATGTACTTAAATTAACTAATTAGCTTTGGCTGGATACATAATCTTGTGATACTGTTTATGTGCCCTTACTGGGTGGTGTAACACAGCATCAGGTTTCCAGCGTGAATGCCTATATTTGTTTTCCACTGATATTCTGAAATACTTACGTAAAATCTGCTATATCCACAAACATCTACCTGTTAACTCATTTGTTATTATATAATCCGAAAGTAACTACAAGAGTGTGTACAGAGTTGGAAAAAATATTTACCAATGTTTTAATAACAGTTAAAATAAAAAAAATCAATTTATATCCCATGATGTACTCAAAACTAGAGACTCTGGCTACTGAACTTTGTCAAACTGAGGAGTTACTGATCACACTCACTGGTACTATTTTCAAATGTTCTATAATCATTTACAATTCTACTTGGACACTGGTCACAGCAGGTAAAAGTTGGAAAGCATACAAATTAGATATATTTTTCCCTCAACAAACTTCTTCATAAACTATTTGTAGCCTACAAGTGGCCACTGCAGTATTTTCAGAGATATTTCCAAGAAACCCGCATATGAACAGGTTTTGGAGCTGACTGTCCAGGTGCCCTCCTTTTCCCACTTCTCTTCATCAGTAAAAATTCTTTAAGAAAATGTTCACACTTCCCAATTGAAAATATTTTTCTATAACAAGAAACAGACTTTACTGGAAAGAAGCATTAGAGCACTATCTAATTTTCACACAAAGTTTTCATATATTGTCAGCCCAGCTAGTGAACTACTTTTTATGAAGAAGATGCAGTCATGCCTTTATGCATAACAGAATACAAACACTAGGAATCTAAATGGTCCAAAAAGGTAACATATTATTGGGAAAAAGTAGTTATATTCTGCCTAAAAGTTCATTAGAAGAAAGCTAGTAAACTAAGTTTCACATAAATAGGATTCCATATTTATCTCTAGCAAGTGAGTTACCTCACTAAAGGTCACATGCCCTAAAAGTTACACCTATAATGATTAGTTTATAGAGTGAACAGAAAGTGAAGAGACTAAGTTTGTTTGCAGATAGAGTTTTAGCCTCTCCTCTTATTGCATTTGTTTCTTTATTTACGGTATTTTTAATATTCTGTCTTTCATTTGTTAACATGAATGTGTTTTAATTAATTCTTGAGATGGGAATTGTATCTAAATAAACCCTTCAGTTTCTGATATCTATACACTATAATGTAATCTCTAGGTTTTATCAATAACTTCCCTCTATGTATACACATGCTCTTTCACTCTTTTCCCCACACCAGACCAGCAGATAAGCATGTTAATATTCTACCCAGTGCGACTTACCCATTGAACCCTTGGGACATGGCACAGCAGCTGGCTGTCCAAACTTAGTCTGAGGCCACCAAATGCCAGCTTCAAATGCTTTGGGACATCCATTATAAATCACTGTGGCAAGAACAGAAATGGTGCAGTTTTTTCAGCAATGTAAAAATCACAGAAGTCAGCAAGATAGCGCAGTTACAGATGCAGAAAGAATTTATCTGTAGCTGGAAGTTTACTGAAATCACCAACAACTCCCATATGGAGCCATGATATTTGTTTTCTCTTCAACAGGAGTGTTCCCTACACTTTAACTGATGATCTGCTCCTTGCTCAGTGGAGGCACCTACATGTGCACTTTACTGTGGAGCTGACTAATTAGCTCTACAGTAAAGTGTCAACGTCTGTACAGACAGCATTATTTGATGGGAATAAATTAATTAACTCTACCATGGGATATTATTGCCTGATGCAAGTATGTCCTGTGATGGAGTTATTTACTCTGCCGCGATGCACAGGTAGATGGTGACTGGGGCACAAGGGTGCAACAGTGCAGGAGCTGCCTGCCGGCTAGCCCTGCATGGCTGCAGCCTTGTGCCCCAGCCAGCCCCTCTGCAGCATGTTGAGCCACAACAGAGCAGTTCCGGGTTGGCAGGCCGACCCCCGGGGGGCTGCGCTGCCCTGGCTCAACGTGCTGTGGTCCTGTACATACATATATACGTTGCGCCCAAGAGCAATAAACTCTGGCATGAACTGTGCTGGAGTTTACTGCATTGCATTAATAGCATGTGTAGATGCACCTAGTGGTGGGATCAAAGACCAAGGAAGATTCATTGTGAATTTATGACTCTGGATGTCAGACCATAACAGATTGGTCCCTTAACTGCTCCCTTATTCTGGGCAAGAATTTCTAATTCACGCTAATTTGACACAGTTGTGAGACTGAGACCACCAAATCTTTTTTCTGTCGGGGAAGAGGGGGAAGGGGACATGCAAAATCATTTTAAATCACTGTTCTTGTGGCTTTGCATCCACGCCAGCAGAGGGCACTCTAAGAGTGATGCAACCTTAGCAAGGATCAATGGCAGCAGGTATGAAGGACTTTTTGCACAGCAGCACAAAATCATATTGAACTGGCAGTTGACTTGCATTTCTATGTTCCAGTGACAGCAGGATTAGAATGTTTTGCTGTTTTTTCCCTTAGGTAGAACTATTCCAATCTGGTATGAATTAAATTAAATAAACCTCAATTAATTCTCTTTCATTTCTATAAGCAACAGCATGCCAGTAGATAAAAGAGAAGCATATTAGCAGTAGCTGATGGACGGAGTGGGCAGTACCTTCACAGCCCCTCATGGTAACCTCAGCGAAGGGATTGTCACAGCGGTTGCACTGTCGCCCAATCACTCCAGGTTTACAGGGACACTGTCCTGTCTCCATGTCACAAGAGCGTGTATAGGAGCCAGAAGGGAAGCAATCACATGGATAGCAAGTGTCACTGCTCTGTGGCCTATAGTAGTTTGCCTGGAAAAATAGAGATAATTTTAATGACAGCATATAGTATTTTAATGATGCTACATGTTACAACATCATATGTCTTACTTCTTAGTCCTTCTTCATAAGCTCATGCATCTGCATTGAAGAATTATTGTGTGCCCAGTTACTGTCTTGTACAGTTACACTGTTACTAACACTAAGACTAACATTAAGACTTCATTGGCAGTGGTTCCTTCTAATATCTACTAGTGCCATAATCTTAATTATGTTTTTGTCCTCATTGAAGCCTCATTGAAAAAATATATATTGATCACTACTTTGTTAAAGAAGCAGGAATATTAACATTTTATAAGGTACAATTAACTGTGTAAATGTAGGGGCCCACATTCTTAAATATGCATGTATAAAAGCCAGGTCCTAGCTTCTGGAATGGAAAAGTCCCAGGGGCTCTTGGACTCAAAAGCTACAAGTGAAGAGAATTCCTACTGAAGCCAAGAACAGTTCTTCATGCAGAGTATTTGCAGAATCTACACAGGGGCATGAAAAAATGAGTGCCATTTACGTGCCAGGAGGGGAAGAATTGTTCCCAGGTTTTCCAACTCCACCTTCCTTCTGTGCTGGAGCAGAGAATGTGTGTGCATACCCACTAGATATTCAACTGGTGCAAAACACTGTTGTATTTACACCAGTGCTGTAAAACATTGTACAAAACACTGATGTACTACTATTCATCGTGGTTTGGCCATTATATACGAGAAATATTATTGTTGGATTTTCAAAGAAATGCCAATGAGGAGAGGAGAGCACCACATCTCTCTCTCCCAGTCTTGTGTTTGCTGGACTGGCATAGTTGACAACATCAGAGTGAATAATTCGCTGCATCTTTACGGCAGCAGTCTGGCTGTTTTGGGCTGCAGGGGCCGCTGATTCAGGCCAACAGCTGGACCTGTGGCCAAAGCTCTGGTCTATATTATCTATCATACACTTAATGGTTTTGGTCCATAAATACAGACATGACATTTCTGGTTTTCTCTGTCCTGCTGACTGTATTCTAATATAAAATGTATCAAGCAGCAATTGAGTTTTTTGTACTGCCTTACTTAGGTTTCATGCAGGGGATCCTATAAAACCAATAATAATGTATTCCATTCACTGTCCTGCATGGTTCTGATGCAAAATTGACGTAAGTAGCAGATTACCAGCAGAGTCAAACGGAATTAAACGTAGCAACAGCTATAGGTCCTGCTGTCATAAGGGAAGCTTTCACAAATGAAGTACTGGGCAAGTTACACCAGGTTGAATCAGAAGTAATACGACTGAAGTCAGTGGAGTTACAGTCTTGTAAGACCTGTGTGAATCAGATCTAAACGCTGTCCTCAGCTATGTATACACAAGTCCTTATTAGCTTCATAGAGTTTTATCCAAGGAAATATTTTTTCTCTAAAGCTTACTGAGTAAAGCTCACTGTTGTGTAGTAACTCAGTAGCAGGCATGTCCACTATTTTGTTCTGCTCAAGTAGATAGACATTTTGCTGGCCTCCTGCCTGGGGAAGTACATTTTACCCAGCTAGTTTAGTTACTTCACTTGCTATTCTGTTTGCCATATAATAAATGCAATAACTAAAATTCTTTCGAGACAGTGCCAGAGTCTGGTCTCACAAAGTCAGGATCTGGTCCTTTATCCTGTCCATGCTGTTTGCCAGTTAGAAATGTGAATAAGAACAGCTGTATAATCAGAAAAATACCAGATTTCAGGCATAATTAGGTATGTCTTAGATATGATACAAAGCAGAATATACAGGAATTTATATTTTATTTATCACTATTCTGACATTTTTAACCCAAAGATAATTTCCATTAAACACAGGTTTCTTTTTCTTACCTTACAGTGGCACTCTCCGTTTGTCTTATTGCAGTCAGGATCAAATCCCTTATTGGTCTCGCAGTTACATGGACCACAAATAGGATTCCCCCACCATCCTCGGGGGCAAGGCAAGTCAATTCTATAAAAGAAAATCAAAGGGAAAGTAGCCTCTTTTGAACTTAGTTCTGAAAAGAAGAGAAACAAAGGCATGGGGCCAAATTCTGCTCCTGCATCAGATTAGAACAAGTATAATTTGCCCCAATACAGAAGATAATATTCAGTACATGTAAGCACATATAATAAACACAGAAAGAGCCTTTGTTCTGCAGAGAACTAGCAAGATCATTTCTCAAGTGTGGGCTGGACCCAGTTCCTCTGTCTAATGCCTGAGGGACAACACTCCCCCATTCTATGAATGGCAACAACAAGTAAATGACTCTCCACCCTACAAGCTTATTTATGGAAAGACACACTGCTTGCAGTCTATGCCAGAGAGCACGTGAATTCCACTGCTTGCTCTAACTGCAGGGCTAATGTGTGGAAAGAGGAAATGATACATTACACACGGTGTTTTAATGGACTATGGCAGGAGTGTGCCTAAAAGGGTGCTGAGTACAGTTCTAATCCAGACAACAAAGATGAATTTGAAAACACCCTAGCCAATACAAGGTTGCATACATATAAATCACATACACAAAACTGCCACAACAGGGAGGGTTAAGGGTTAGAGTTTTCAAGAGGAGGACATTCAACATTGTTAGGTGACACCCAAACAACAGTGACAACAAGATGAGATAGTCAAAATCACCCTACATGGGGCCTTCTCATTTTCCAGGGACTACAAATGACCTGCATTACATTCAGATAGGACAAGGTAACACCTGGCAGGCAAAAGGAAAGGGCTGGGTACCTGGTTCAGCGGGCTTATTACCAGATGGAGGGGGCAGGCTGCCAGAGACCAGGAGTTCAGTGAAGTTCTCCAGGAAGAGAACTGAGCTCTCCTAAGCCTGACAGGAACAGAGCTGAAATATTTTGCAGTGATTAGGAGCTCTCCAGGAGCAGTGACTGTTATGAGACCTCAAATAATAAGGGGAATTTGAAACAAAAACAGAGATTGTTGCCTTATGCTGACTGAAGGACTAGAGGGAACGGGGATGACCAAGACATCGAACAGGGAAAATCCTTCTCTTACTTGTTCTCACAGTACTGCCCATAATAGCTTTGTCCACATTCACAGGTGTAACCGTGGGATGAGCTGGGTTTATGGACACAGGTGGAGACATGCTCACATGGGTTCAGGTTACATACGTCAACACAGTCCCTCCCAAAGTACCCTGAGGAGACAAGGTTATAAAATTACAGCAACTGCTGTAATTTATGATTAGCATGTTTCAAAAAGACCATCTATTTTAAGCTTATACACTTAATAACATGTCTTCCATAATCAGTAGATTTCCCCTGAGATACTGTCAAGAAAGATACCTTTTTTCCTTGCAGTGAGCAGTTAATGGGCTGGCCTTTTCCACAGCTTGCAAACACTTTTTGAGCAACCATAGATTAGCAGCTTCTGAGACTTTGCTTAGGGCATGGGTTACAAACAGCTTTATATTCTTTCTCTACATGTACAGTGGGTGACTGAACCTATTTGCGGCTCACACTTCAAAATTAAGACTAACAACAAGAAAAGTTCAAAACGTCCCTACTGGGACTTGGGGGTGTAAACCAGAAATCTTACAGTAGAGAAGGGCTGGTAGCAAAAAAAAGATGAGAACACAAGGAGGCTCTGTAGGGCAGGGACCCTCTTTTTGTTCCGCCTAAGGCCCCTAGGTGCTAGTTATGCCAACAGCACGAAGTTAAAAAAAGTATCAAAGGCCTTGGCTGTGTAACCAATGCCAGGAACAGTTCTAACTCTCTCCGTATCACACTCAGTTTTCATTCGTGCTCCATTACCTGGGTCGCAGATACAGGAATAGCTATCCCAGTCATCACTGCAGTAGCTGTGTTGGGGACACGGATTGGAATCACAAGGGTTGTCTACTTCACAGCCTTCCTTTACATTGATCTTCACTGCCTGTTTCATATTCAGTGTAGCCACATTTGTAGATGTCTCCCCCATTCTTACACCCTTGAGTACAGAAAAACAATAATTTCAACTCAGAAACTTCCTTTCAGTTACAGCAGTACAGGTATTGAATATGTATCACTAACTTCCTTAATCTTCTGAGTTTTTTAAAGAAATGTGATGTGCTTAGCCAGAAGCCAGATTTTTTTCTTTAAGTGTTGGTCTTTGATCTGCACTATGAGGAGAAAAATGATATTTCCCAAGACCAAAAGAGACTGGATTCCTAACTGAAAAGTCAAAATTGTGGTACTTGGATATTTTAAGAATTCCAGTCATGCAGGATAACAAGAACTCAGGGGAAATAAGGATCAGATGTGTAAGGATCTATCATTTTAGAAGTGAAAACTTGACTACTAATTTTTTTTTTTTTTTTACTTCTTACCTGCATACAGCCATAAAAGCCCTGCTGCACAGATACTTGATCTCCCGAGATACCTCCGACAACAATGCTTTTCATTTTTAGTCCAGGCAGCTGATTTCCAATTTGCACTGTACTCTATTAAAGATTGAGAAAGAAAAAGCATAGAAGATTGGATGATAAAGCAGTGGTCATTTTAACATCAAGAACTACTCTGCTATTCTTACCACATTGCACTGAATCAAAAAATAAGTATGAGTGAACTACAACAGAAAAAAAACAGATCGGTGAAATGAAGATCTTTTAATGTGAACTTGATTTTCATATAGGTATGTTCAAAAATATAATTTCATTGGGTGCAGTGGGCCTGCACCAAAGGTAAGTCACAGAAAATATTGGCCTGCATAGGGTAGCCACAGTAAGGTATTTGGTCACAGTCCTGTTCCCAGAACCCTGCTTTTTAAAAACTTTCAGTTATGCTGTTATGACGTTGCCTTACCTGGTACATCCCATAGTCCAAAGACATGACTGCCAGGTACTTGATGTCTTTTCCATCTTTAGCGCTCTTCAGCTCTATTAACAAATGATGCCATTCACCATCACTGACTCGTGACTGCATCATTTTCAAACTAGCAACCTGATTCAGGCCATTGTACACGTCAAATTGTACATAGTTGTTCAGTATCTATAGGAAATAAATATCACCTGTATTCATTGTTGAAATATTCATGCATGAGGACAAGCAATAAATGCTTTCTACAGACTGTGGTAGCAAGAAAAATGCTACAGTCATAACACCTCCCAGCACCTCCCAACTTCAGAAATTCTATTTCTGTTTGTGCTGAGGAAGGCAAAAAGACAGAAAAAATAATACGAATTATAAGTTACAAATCCAGAGTGAAATCCTCAACTATGTTAAAACAGAACTCAGTGTATCAGGGAGAAGATGCTAAACCACCATTCTAAAACAGTGAAATTAGCACTTTTTATAATTAGCTTTAATGGATATGCATGCCTGATTTTCTGCCTTACTTAGGGAAAGAGGCAGTATCTTTGACTGGTCCACCTGACAGATATCACTAGCAGAATACTAGATCTGAGTGTGTTCTTGGGTTTGGACAGTTTATGTTAATGTGTACATATAAATATTAAGATTTTTTGTTTATTAAAATCATATTGCCATACAAAACTTTTCAATTTTAGAATCAGCAAAGGTAGTAAGGTAATGAATCTATTAATATTTGATGGTATGTATGATGCCATAAATGAGGTAGATTAAGATAAATATTTGTTTAAACCTGTAAGAGAAATTTGGGGAAAATTTCCTGAATTCTATGATCTTCTGTGCTGTCACATTCTTACCTGGATGTTGATTTTGGATGCAGTTCCTGCATTAGCTTGCATTAACATGCCATTAACTTTTCGGGTCCTGAACATAAGTCCAATGTACCACGGTACAGAAATAGTAATATCAAGGTCACTCCAAATGATAATGCTCTCACCACTGAAACGCTGGGGAGAAGGCATTACTGTAAATCAAGAGACGAGACAAAACATTTTATATCTTTTAACACAAAGATTAGAAGTAAATAATGTTTCATCCCAGAGACTTCTCATCAGCAAAGGGACCATCTTTATTGCTTGTGTTAGAAAAAGCAACACATCCTGACGCCAATAGGGTTGCCTTGTCTATATAATAGGGAAAAAAATGTCCCTTGTTTTATATTGTGAGCAACTGATCACCTATCTTAAATAATACAATTATCCCTACTATAATATCATTTCCCAACTGCTACCCATGCTGTAACTGTCACATTGCTATCTCAGTTATTTTCTGCTATAAGTCTTGGAAAGAGAAAGTGGTACCTCAGACACTGTTATGTACTAACTGCTGCCAAAGACTGGCTTCAAAACAGTGACCAGTGGACTACGCTTACAATAAAAAAAAATGAAGTTAGATCATAACTCAATTAGGTTTGGAGAATTCTTGCATAATCATTTTCCTTGGCACGATAAAAGCTAAGCTTACTGTTTACTTGATTTTAATTAATTTGCTGATTATTAAGTGAGGCTGTTTTCTTGTAGAATCACCGACAGGCCTATATTGTTGCCAGTTGCTTCAGGTATGTGGAGGCTGGAAGCTGCAAGTGAGAGAGGAACAGTGGAAAAAATCCTGGTCACACTTAGTTCACCCTCCTTTTCAGCATCCACTTTCTGCCACTGTGTGATGCACAATACTGGGCAAGATGGACCTACAGTCTGACCCAGTAATGATAGTTCATATGTTCTTATGTGAATAAGAGAACACTTCTATTCCAACTCCTTAAACACTAAGGCATCTACCACAAGATGCTACTCTGTAATCAGAGAGAGGTGTTTTTGGAGAGCAAAACTGAATACCTGTATTAATATCATTTTTGGTGTGGAGTTGGTGAACAAAGCAGATCCTATGAGAATAATTTGCCACAGTAGCTTCTACTATATTGCTGACTGCTTGAATCTAATTAAGAGATTAAACAGAAAAGAAATAGCTCTGAGGCAATAGGAAATGTTTAATTAATTTTAAATCCTCCAGGGCCAGGATGGTGAGCTATCTGAACTTCCCAGCCTTTAGGGCAGAGAGTATGTTCTTATGATATTACCAAAATATCTGCCTTTCCTGAACAGGGGTGAGTGCTATGGAGGCAAGGAAGGCAAGGTTCTTTGAGTAAATCCAATATCTTTTATCAGAACAACTAAAAGAGAGGCAGGAAAAAGCCCAAGTATTGCCCTACCCTCTGACTGTAAGCAAATTAATTTTTACATTGGCTCCTGTTAGTAGCCTTCAGGAAAAATAGACAGGGCAAATTCCCTGGTCAAAGGCTCGCAGTCTTCACATGAATGTACCTCCTTCACATGAATGTACATGGTAGTTTTTGTATGTGAAATTCAGGTCCTTAAGGTGGCTTCTCTACCATGCATGCTGGTAGAAGACACAGAGTAAGCTCCAGGGTGCTAGAACTTGTAGTACTTAAGAAGCTGTTGATTTTTTAAAAACACACTAATCTAATTGGTTGTGCCTCTTTTTTAACACCCAAGATTCCCAGTATTCTACAACATTACAATGTTGTCCCTCAACACAGGCAGATATGAAATGGAACTGAAAAAGACCTCATACTGTGTCTTCCCTGTTTTGAATTCTTATCTTCAAAAAACTAGAGCTCCATAGGTCATTACTGTCATGCTCACGGGACTTAATCTTCCCTTGCATATAGCCATTCCCTCCCTTACTGCTCTTCTCCCCCAGTGTCCCACCCAGGGCAGGCAGCTTTACAATGCAATCAGAACTCCAAGGCTAGGGACAGACATTCAAAAAGCCTGAGCCTGAATTGATTCAATCTTTGCAGTGGGGCTAACCTGGCTAGGCTAAATGACTGTACAGACATCCCAGAAATGCGGGCACATGCCTGCAGTGGCTCAGGCTAGAAGCCAGGGGACGTTCCTTCCATAACACTGAGCTGAGGTGGGGTGTGGCCAGACCCCTGCTGGGTGCTCTGATTAGCCCAGCAGGGAATTGGTAACAGTGCTTATCACCCCTAACTCAGTATTTATCACCCCATTAAGAAAACAGCTGAGGGACATTACCTGCTACCTCTTGATTCTACCTGTTGATTCAGCACAGACCATAGCCAGCATGTGGGCTGCTAGCTAATACACAGACACCTCTCTGCAAGGCAGAGGAGAGGGGGGAATTAGCAGGGAGTGGTGTATGTGTGGCGGGGGGGGAGGGGGGGGAGAAGTGAGCAGCCTGCAGTCCCTGCCAGAGCTGCAGCCAGGGAGCAGAGGGGAGGGGCCAGCCCTGTTGTGAAGCAGAGAGCCCGGTCAGCCCAGAGTGCATGCTAGGATGCTGGGGGAGTCTGATTCATTTTAAACCAGCTAGAGGACTGGGACAGACATTGCATAAACTGGTTTGATCCAAATCAGTTAAGTTTGATACTACACTACCGGTTTATCTCAAACCAGTTTCAGCCATTTTAAACTGGTTTATGTGCACTGAACATCTGTTTTGTTACAGGTTTAAATCTGTTTCTGATCACTTAAACCAGTTTATGTATAATGTCTGTCCCTAGTTCAAGGGACCCCAGCCAGTGGAAAGGGGGAGAACATCAAATTCTTGGCGCACTGCCTGTTTGTGGTCAGAACAACCTGCATTGTAGTGCTGTGCAAATTGCCACAGAATCCACTCTACCTATCTGTTCCTACAGAGTTGTTTGGTTTCATTTTTAAAATAAATGCTGTCTCTAGCCCTCCAGTTTATGAGACTAGCCCAGGTAATGTGAACGATATAATTACTGCCTGACCCTGTAAACAGCCTGAAACAACTGGTCTGAGGGATTTTCTATTTACCTAACTGAGAACCTAATGCTGTAATGTAAACATTTTTAACTTTTCACTACCAATCATTTTAGCAGACACTTCCAGGTGTGTTATTGTCCAGCACAAACCCCAAACTGCCTCTCACACTGTCACAGTTGTCAAATGCCACTAACTTTTTCCTCCCCAGCTTTCAAAGGCTCCAGAATATCCTTGACTTCTACAATCCAGTACACAATAAGCTGTGACAGTCGCACAGTAACCTGTCAGCACACAATAATCTGTGACATTCTGAAACTGTGGGTGGGGAATGTAACCAATACATAAGCTACTTTTCTGATATTTTAATTTAAATGTCTCATCTGCCTAACTAAAGTTTCTCAGAAACTAATTATAAACCAACTCTGGAGAAAATGGGGGTTTTATCTATTGGTGGCAGATAGAAATGAGTTGCTAACATTCCTTTTAAATTTTCATTCAGGGAGTTAAAGAAGGGTTTCTTCTTTCATTTACCTTTTATCTCCTTTTGATCCTTGGGGTACTTATCACTATTTGGTGTCATTAGTTATTATTGGTATTATGGTAGTGCCTAGAAGAGCCCATGAGAACTGGAGGTTCCATGTTGAGAGCACCATACAAGGATACAGAGAAAAATGGCCTGGGTCCTTACCAATTTACAGGCAAACTGGACAAATTCTTGGCCTAAGCAAAGTCCTCATTACATTGGTTCTCTGTGGGCGCATCTACATGAGATGCTAGGCTGCCATAGCAATGAGCTGCAGCAACATAGCATTGGCAGACATGAACTGTGACGCTGAAGTTACTGTGCAGTAGCAACAAGCTTATTGCTACTGCGCAGTAGGGTCAGAAACAAGCCATACGTTGCCAGGGTGCATGTGTAGACACTTCCAGTGAGGTGGAAACAGAGGCAATCTTAACAAAAGGACTGTTCAAAACACATCTGCCAGCTAATCCCAACTAGGATTTAACATTAATGTGAAGATTTTCAAAGCCTGCTGTTAGGTTCAGAAGGTATATATATGCACTTATACAAGTGGTTTGAATTTAAAAAATACTGAGCATCATTGGTTCCTACCAACTTCATCTCTTGGCTCCTTAAATCTCTTTTCATATTTGCTAAAAATTTCCACAGTTCCTTTATAAGAAATAATTTGCTTGTGACCTGGTGCCCATAAAGAGAAGAACAATCTTTAACAAAGTTTTTGGCAAGTATAAGGATTACAGCTTAAGCATAAAAGTTCAGGGCTGCACTACCTTCATAACTGGAGAGAATTTTGCAGTAGGGGATAGCACTGTATTTATTATGAAATGTATCAGGTAAAATCCAAATAATGGTTAAGCTTTAAAACATGATTAAATGTTATTTCTTAGATCATTTGTCCTTGGTTTAAAATAAAATATCTCAAGAAAAAATGTACTTGACAGTTTTGATCTCTCTACTCAAAAATCAAGAGGAAGTAATAAGGAAACCAGGCCCCTTGCCTCCAATATAATTATTCTCCATTTATACCACTATGAGCAATATCAGAGCCATTTCAGCAACATCAGAGCCCTTGCTCTCTTTGGAGAGATCAGTTTATTCAACAGTAGATTACTTATGAACAAAACACTAGCACCTGACTGCAAAGCTATCTGACATCAGACCATAGGACTAATAAGGTCTTTCGTTTAGAGCAGCAGTTTTCAAACTTTGTAAAGTCACAGAACCCTTTCATATCACTTCTTCTGTCATGGAACCACTAACCCTATCCTATGAGCTGACATGAAGCCAGGTGACCCGGGTTGGCAATGGCGGCACACCAACTCCCAGCCTGCTCTATTATTACCCCCAATCTCTTTGTGGAACCCTGACGACATATTGTGGAACCCCAGGGCTCTACAGAACACAGCTTAAAAACCACTGATTGACAAGGACCACCATCTGATGTCAGCCTAACATCTACTTCCTGTCACCTGCAACCAAGAGTCCACTTAGCTTTCTTCAGCCACACTGAACAAAGGAAATCACTGTTTAAATTCCATAGAACTGGTGGATCAGTTACACCAGCAGTATAATTCCACTTACTTCAATGAAGGCACTTTCATTTCGACCACAAACAAAGCCAGAATTTAATGTTTTATTTCTAGGGAAATTTCCACAGACTAGTTGTAATGGGATTTTCCCTGTAGAACTGCAGCAGAGCATAAGTAGGAATCAGCAACCTGTGCTAACCAAGAGTAGGTTATATAGCCCTTCAGTATAGCCCATAGCTATAATGCCAGCTCTGCTGTAAGGAACCTTGTTTGCACCTACAGTTTTCCTAATGAAGTATCTTTCTAGCTTATCCGAGGAAAAAAGCCAAAGTCAAATTCTTCATTCTTTTATAAAACACACCTGATGGTTTTTCCTCATATCCTTTTAACAAGTTTCATGCAGTTTTTTTCAGCAATGAGTAAACTCCAATGTCATTTTTTTTATATTGAGGAGGCACTGCCTTCCCCTCACAGAAATGGAGATTAAGCCCCTGTTTGTTTTGGGCCTGGCTCAAAGGCCAGTGAAAACAATGGAAGTCTTGCCAGTGATTTAATGGGATTCATATCAGGCTCTTCTATTTTCAATAAATAGCTCTACTACTTTAGACAAACAGTTCCAAACATGGTCAACCTAATTCACTAATGAAAGCAAATAAAGGTAAAAGCTGTTACTGTCAATCCCAGTAAGTCAACTGCCATTTTTAAATGTAGATGCTGGGGTTTTGGTTGTAGCCATGCTGGTCTAAGGACACAGGCAGGCAAGGTTCTTTAAGTAGATGTGACATCTTTTATTAAACCAACTGAATAGTTGGAAAAAAGTTCTTAGCAAGCTTTCAGGTACAAACACCTGTCTTCAGGCACGGGGAGTCTCTGCTGTTCTGAGACTCCAAGGAAATCTTTAAATGTAGATGAACATACAGTTATTTTAAATATACAATGGGTGAATTTTATTTTTTAACTACAACATTTTATTACCTGTCTCCCTAAAACATCTCAAAAAGACATATACATTATGAGAAGTTAATTATTACGATGCACAAAACCTGTTAGTGAACATAAAGACGCATGCCATAGGAGCTTTGCATACCATACCTTGCTCACAGTTTTTCCCACCATATCGCAGAGGGCACTCACAAGCATAGGTATTCCATTTATTCACACATGTTCCCCCATTCTGACACCAGCTACTCTCACAGTAGTTCTTCTGAGCTGCACAGCCTGGAATTTAGAAAATGGAGTTACTCAACCAAACCATGCACTGCTTGTGTGTCACAAATGGTGTCTGTATTACACAAAAGTTTCCAAGACTTCAAGTGGCTTTAACCATAGGTTTTTGAATAATCTAACAAGTTTCTGAATGACTGTACCTGCAAGACAGTACCTGGAAGTTTGTCAGTACTAAAGAGAAAGGAAATCACTAGACCAGCACAGCACTTCTTTTTTAATGCCCCTCAGGTCAGTAAAACAAAGGAGAGAGGGTCCATATTGTCAAGAAAGACCAAGAAACCAGACAGATACAGCTGAAGTGCTAAGTTAAACACTAATTTAATGCAACAGAACCCAGTGGAATTACACCATGTAGCAAAGTGCTTCCAAATCAGAAAATAACCAAAGAAAAACTTTACTTTATTCAATTTTCCTTAAAAAATATTGCTATGAACTAAAAGTTGTACTGTACTGTACTGGCAAAAGCTAAGCAATTCGCAGTTAGGGCTGCAAGTCCATCCTTAGTTCATGGTCCACATACAAGATTAATGTGGAGCTCTTTCCCCACAGTTCATCCCTTAAGCAGATCTCCACTCAGTGAAAGAAGGAACGAGACTTTTTTACATTATATTGAAACCTGCTGCACTGCCTCATTTGCGGAAGAGAGCACTTTCAGACTTCTTCAGCACAGGAAGTCAGGCATGCCAGCTTGGACTCCAGCACATCTCTTGTTGAGGCAGTTACCAGCACTATTCAGCAGGACAGGAGACTCACCCACATTACATTTAAAATGGTTTGAAAAATCATGATAACTATGAACATATTCTGTGCACACTGCATGTCTAGTTTGGTGGCTACTGGATTTGTTATAAAAGAAGAACTGAATTTTCAAAACTGGCTAAACTATTCCATTTTTTTGACCCAATTACACAAAGTTTCAGAGCTGAGTGTGATCCAACTGTTGTGCTTCAGACATATACAAATAGAGGGTTCTTAAAGGAAATTCAGGTACAGCAGATTGAGTGCAGGCTAAATATGTCACTCAATGTCTACTTTGCATGAAACATGGCTTCAGGGTTCACTCAGGGCTAAATTCTCTGCTCAAATTCCTGAAAAAGATTCTTGTCAATGCAGGGAGTCCAAATAAGCTCTGTGCACCTCTTAAGTGCCACTTCATCCTTCAAGTGCTCCATACACTCAGAGGTACTATGTGTGTCTTTGGTACAAGAATTAAAATTACCTAGCTCAAGTAAACAGGGCAATGTGCACAGTGACCAAAGCTGAGGACAGTTCAACAAGTGGCTGATGCAACCTTAAAGGTGCAACAGCTTCTGTGGCTGTTATACTCCTCTCAGAAAGACAAGCAGAGGGGCTGGCACTGAACACAGAAAAGGGGTTTCCTTCTTTTTCCATCCCCATCCAATCTATTCTGCACTAGGTGGTCTGGGTTCCTTCCTCACACTCCCAAAACTTCCCCTCCACAGCTCAGCGGAGCAGGAAGAACTCTGACACTGGGCAGTGGTGGTAGCGCAAATTGTAGGAAGTTTTTTGCCTGAAATGAAAAATACCCTGCCCAGCTCCTGCAGATGCCTACCCACTGTTTGCAGGCAAAATTAGCCAATCTGCACCAGCTTGCACACAGCCAGTCAAATCAATCTTACATGTAAAAAGGCTGTTCTTGCAGTTTTCAGCCACATGCATAGCACCCTTTCTTGAAAATCTGGCTCTCAATTTGTGCTTATATACTCAGGATGACTGAAAGCTTTTTCTTGTGGATTTTCAAATACCAGGAGCTTATACCTGGCAGAGTGCCGTTATTGGCTATGAAACCAGCCATGTCGATTGGCTTGCTGTCAATGGAGAGGTTCCTCATGCAGCCAACAAACTGTCTGTTATGAACAGGAAAATCTTCTGGTAGGTTTGGGACACCCCCAAGAAGGAGAGGGCCAGTGAGGTCCAAAGACCTAAAGAAATAAGAATAAAGAAATAACATACAGATTATTTTTACATTTAAATGAGCCTTAATTTCAGTGAGTGCCCCCTTGCTCGTGTTTATAAGAAAGGATAATCTGATTGGCTTTTTCTGTATTATTCATTATTTTATATCTACAATGTTATTTGTTATTCAGTTCTTTAAATGAAACAGTGCAGAGCTTACCATCGTCCCTTTTAGAAAAGCCTGTTTAGGTATCTCATTGCTTTTCCCTTCTCTCTTGCTACATCCTTCTTGGATGGTGTGATTTTAAATGATGATACAATATTTTAACCATTTTTGTCCCTTTCTTATTGAAGCTTAACATTGTACTTGCTTTTCTAACCACACTGTACATACAGCAGATGTTTTCACTGAGCTTTCTTCATTAATTCTTAGATTCCTTTTGTTGCAGTTAATTTAGGCATAGCTCTGTTTATGAGCAGTTCACCTTACTCCTCCCAGTTACAATTACTGACACTGAATTCCACATTGCCAGTTTAAAGCTGGCCAGTTTGCTTTCTTATAGGTTCTTTGCTATATGGACTCAATTTTCCTTAATGGTGAAAATGAAAAGAAAATATATGTAAAATACCCTTACTTTTTTGAGCCAGTCTGAGTCCCTTGTGCAGCACATGTGTAGTTGCCAATGAGACTTCCAAAGCGCACAGCCACCGCAGTGTCACAGTCATCCACTGTCACTACTGCCACCTTTTCTCCAGAAGGCCCATGAGGAATTCCTAATCTTCCAATGTTAGGCTTCAAACAATAAATGACACACTTGTAAATAATGCTAGACACACAAAGGAATACATACAGTTCCAATTCACTCACAAAGCGACATTCTTCACATTCTTCTGAGATTACTCAAATAGGGTACACAAACATGAATTAAGGGGTATCTCTTCCAGGTCAGCTATTCAAAAGGAAACCCAATGGCTGATTTCAGAGAATGTTAATAAGCTTCCAGATGAACAATGGAATGATTTTTACCCTTGATTTGAACTTGAAAAACAGATGTGCAGCTTGGCTTCATTTCTCTGGATAAAGTGAATTGCTTCAAATCACTTCAAACATCTTTTTTCAACCTATGTGAAGTGGGAAGATCACAGCTCAAGTTGTATTCTAATAATTGTTTACACAGTGCATGCATCTACATGTGTAATTAATGTAGCCAAATATAATGCAGTAAGCTTTCTCTGGGAGCATAACTATATGTGCGCCCACTGGGAGCAAATTTGCTCCTGACAGGAGCAGTTCAGGGAAGGGCTACTCTGGCCCTGCTCTCCTCCCATATGGGATCCATGGGGAGCTCTAGGCTCCCCCAGGTGCCAGCCCTGAGTTGGTAGGGGGCACCAAGGTGAGACCTGAGGTCTTGGGTGTGGGACAGGCTGTCCTGCATCTGGGGCAGCTGTTTCCCAGTCCCTTGCTCCAATCAGCTGATTGGGGCAGGAGGCTGGGAAAGTGTCCTCTCCCCCACAGATGTTTCCCAGACCCCTGCCCCAATTGGCTAGTAGGACACCTGCTAGCAAGCCCCCAGCTGGGCAATGAATCACCACTGGGGGCTAGCTTGGAGCTGCCCCTCTTCTGGGGCAGCTGGCAGTGAGCTTTGAGCTGGGTGGGGATTTCCCAGAGCAGCTGGGGGCCAGCTGGGAGCTGTTTAATTTACCCTGAAAGCCCACTTGTGAGGTCAGAGTGGCATCTTCCTTATTTTACAAAAAAAAAGAAAGGATATACAAAAAAATTAAAAGATTCAAAGTCCCAAAAAAGTCTATGGCAACATCAGAACTGGATGCAAACTTCTTAAATCCCAGCCTAACATCCTAATTACAAAAGTTTCCTTTGTCTCAGTACAACTCTGTTAACTACAATATCAGATTTACTCCATTTGTAATTAACAGCAGAAAGAAGCTGCCAGACAGAAACTAAAAGATTTGAGATACAGATTCTTCTGAGGGTTACATCTTTAATGTTTATAAAAGGTGTAATAATGATGCAAACAAAGAATTAGATCTTTCATATTTCATACCTGCTGAAAGTAGATAATTTTCTGCTTTTGCATCTATGAGAACATTTAAAGTAATACGTAGTTCATAAGGCAGGTCTTATTCATATGGCAGATCCTATTTGGTTTACTTGTGTCCCTCTGAGGTCAGTGGAACTACTAATATGAGAAAAGTGAACAGGATCTAACCCAGACACATTACATAACTGAAATTCAAGAGCTATTTTATGATCTTTGATTACTAGTAGTAATGACACATTCAGCCTCTGCTTCAGCTTCTTTTCAGAACTTTTAGTCTTTTACCTTGCAGCACTGTGTAATTCTGAATTCCTTATTTTCACCAAAAACTAAGAAAAAGCAAGGGGAGAAAAAAACCACAATTCTGTCTGTTTAGGTTTTGCAAATACAAACTTGCTGAAATACTTAAAGGTTGATTTCATCCTTGTAAAGAATTACAGCTTCAGAGGCAAAGCTAATTATACTTGTGCAAAAAACCATTTTTTAAAATGTTTCCCGGTTTCAAACAATTCCAGTTAGAGTGCATTTTCCATTTCCCCTATCAACGGCTGATGTGATCACATAGCTTGGCAGCTATTCAAATAAAGGTTCTGACCTCTATTAAGTGATATTAAGGCAAGTTTTGTTTTTCCCTGGGCTATGTAACAATCTAACTTGGAAATGACTGGGAGCACACATAGCTGCAATGCTGAAAATTTGGCTAGAAGCTGCTCCCAGTCAATGAATGAATAAATAAAAAATCTCCTGCTAACAGTGAGGCCCTTAAATACTATAAAACGAACATTTTGGATACTGCTGTTACTCATGGGAAAGAAAGACTTAGCTAACCCTTCAGTTCAGGATGCCTTACTAAAATGCATCTCTTGTTTAATACCTAGGCGGCATCAGAAGAATTGGGAGTCAGAGAGAAAATGCTGCTTCAGCTGTGTATGCTTGGGCAGCGTTAACCAAGCTTTCAATCTAGAGGTTCTACTGCGCTGCAACCTGCCCTGCAGTGGCCAAGATACGATTCTGTCACTTACATTGACTAGGTGATTACAGCCTTTCCTTAGACTTTGACTTGTCACTGTGATCTGGGTCTTTGCCCTCAGGCTTAGCCTCCTGGGAAGCATGCTGCAGTTCTGAGGGCTATACCTCAGTGCTTCTTGGGATCTTATGCTGATGAATATAGCAGCTTGTCTTTCACTAAAAGATCCACAAGTGTTTCCTCCCAGCACCAACTCAAAAAACTCTGAATCAATTAATTTCCTGCTCATATTTCAAGGCCTGTTTGTTCTCCCGACTTTCGCTAAGAATATATTGCTAGTAATATGTGTAAAAAGGAAATCTGTGATGATGATAGGGGATATTAAGTTTTTTTTTTTCTTTTGAGTAGCACTTTTTTGTTTGAGTCCAATATACACCTTCCTAGCCCCTGACGTGGGGCATATTGTACAAAAGAAATCTTAACTGACAAAATGTCTGACAAAGAGTTAGAGGGGGAAGACCTCAAGTGTCAAAATTGAGTCTAATTTTATTTAACATTATCATTAATAACCTTGTCACAAAAAGAAGGAGCGTGTTCATTAAATAACCAGGATAACTAGGGATCCTGGTCTTCTCCGTTTAAAAACAGCAAATTCTATGATAAAATCCCTATAACTTCTCAGTTTAACAAACCCCAAATATTTTTATGCAATTAAAATGAAACACCACTACGTATACTGGTATCAGTTAAATGCAATGTTTTATTGATATATTTACAATTTTAAAACAATCTGGAAGGCTACCAGTGCTCAATCACTATAATAAAATAAATTCGAAATACCTATCGATTTTGGCATTTGACTTTGGGTTTTTTACCATGGAAAATCAGAGCTCCCCCTGCCCCCTTCACTCACCAGGGTGCAGGTCCAGCTGCAGCTGTCCCCCACAGCTGTTCTGTGGTGTTGAGCAGCCCTCATATGCCAGTGCCTTGCCCATGCTCATATGCCTCACTTACAAGCCACAGCCCCCCAGTTGTGCTGGTGCCCTCACTCCTGACCACAGCTCCCCATCCCTGCCAGTGCCCCTCACTACCAACACACCGCCGCCCTGGCCCTGCCAGTGCCCCTCACTCCCTTCCCATAACCCCCCAGACCTGCTGGTGCCCCTCACTCCCAAACCACAACCCCCTGGGCTCCGAGGTGCTGGTACTTCTCACTCGTGACCCACACACCTCTGGCCCTGCTGGAGCCCCTCACTCCCAAACCACAGGCCTCTGCCCCTGCCAGTGCCCTTCACTCCCCATTCACAGCACCCTGCCTCCTCCAGCCCTGATGGAGGGGGCCCCCAGCTGCCAGGGTTACGAGGCCAGGACCTCGAGTCTTCAGCCTCCTGCCTGCCTCCAACAGCACCAGAGACCTGGCTACTGCCTGTGGGAGGTTGCAGCTGCTGCTGTTGTGGAGTCTAGCTCACCCTCCCCAACCAGTGGCACAGCTGGAGCAGAGATCGTGGGGGGGAGCAGGAATGGAGATGTGGATGCAGGCTAGCAGCTGTGGGCTCAGGTCTCCCCACCCTGCTGCCCTCCCCTTGGGGCCTCTGTGCAAGGCAGGGCAGAGCAGGGCGGGTTGGAGCAGGGTGGCTTGGTGCTGCCATCAGGTGCCCCACACTGCCATGGCAAGGCACCCCCTGCTCACTCAGCAGCAGCAGGGGAGCACAACTCGGCATAGGGCTCCCAGCAGCAGCACTGACCCTCCCTGTCCTGCCTCATTCTGCCCTGCTGTGCTGGGTTCTGCCTGCTGGGCCACAGAGGCCCCAGGGGAGAGCATCAGTGTGGGGAGACCTGAGCCCACATCTGCCAGCCCACATCTGCCCCCACCCCATACACAATTCTGGGGGGCATGTGTCCCACCAAGCTCCCCCTGGGAGTGCATGCAGTGGCAGGGAGCAAGCCCCTGGCCCCAACCCCAGACAAACCTCCTGCAGTTTGGTCCCATTCACTGCTGGGGCCCTGTACCCAAGCATTCCCACTCTGGCCCCAGACCCCAAGCCCCACCCTCATGCACTGCCCCAGCCATGCCCAACTTTGTCCCTCCCTTGTGACCGCCAGAACCAGAGGGATAAATAAGCAATAAATATGTGCTTCTTGGAGGCATTTGGTATTTTGCCTAAACAGGTAATATTATTTAATATAAAGCTTGTAAGTTTGTAAACTGCAAATGTAACTTGTCTGTCATAAGTTTAACCAAAATGATAAATTAACTGTTCGTGGAATTGACTGGGTCCTATAGGCAAAGCTGTAGCTGCAAGATTAGGAGACCTATCAGTTTTTTGCTCAGGGTTCAGCCTTGATGATAAAACTGGATCCAACTGCCTGGCACACACAACACATTCCAGGAAAACACATCCCAAGAAAACATATTCAAATGAAAGCTAAAAGGGGTTGGGGCTTAGGCGGAGCAATGTCAATTTCAAACCTAAAGGTGCTGCATCATAACTTGCTTATTGGATAAACCCAAGTCTGGGTAGTAACTTTTTATGATCATTTTAACACCTTTCAATCCCATAGGGTAACAGCTATAGGGTAACATTGCGAGTGCCTCTAAAGCTAACATATTAGCATAAAACTAGGTATAAAAAGCGCATGCATCAGGTGATCAGCAGGAAGGAGGGAACAGAATGGTCATTTCTGTTCCACGCCCGGACCACCGGTGTGAGTGAGGATCGGATCCTGATCAAGGGACCTTCCTCAGTAAACCCTCTGACAGCGTCAACT